CGACGCGGTCAAGGCAGAACGACGTAAGCGCCATTTCACAAATTATACAGGAGACACAAAAAACCGCAGAGTATATTTCGTGGTGGTCAATTACTTTCAGGATCGATACTACGTATACACGTTTTTTTTTTTTTCAATTTGCAATGTATTTTTGGTTGAAAAAATTGAACTGTTCATAGTGCTTTGGCCAAAAATTTAAACTTTTGTCGCTTACGCCGATTTGGTTTCAGCGATTTTACTTCGTGCCAAATTGATCCGGTTGTTTGCGTCAATGCTGTGAGCTGATGTCGCTTTCTTAGGCGCTTATGCGCAGTTATGTCAAATCGGTATGCTGATTGTCAAAAATTAATTTTGGCGTTTATGTCTAAGTTTCACATTAAAATAACACATTTTTTATGAATGTTTAATTCAAAAACATTAACAAGTTAACTATTTTTTTTTTACAAAAATACAAAAATATAAAATTCAAAACAAAATAAATTCTTTTTTCTTTAATACAAAAATAATATCTCAATATTTTAGTCAAAATTTTAAAAGTCTTCAATATCAGTTTCAGGCAAAACGTCGCCAATGTTGTTGCTCGACTTTAAAGTTAAATACTCGCAGTGGTATTTCGCAGATACAGCTCCCGAGTCGCACATTTTCCTCAAACTGGCATATTTTTTGGAACTTATAGGAAGTTCATTATTATAGGCACGTTTAACACTGGCGGCTTTGACTTCAAATTCGAAGCTGTATTCCTCATCATTGATAAAAGAGGTTGTGTAAATTACCCGTTTAGAGCTTTTTATAAAAGTAGCAGTCTTGATTTCAGTCAATTTCACCTCTTTGGGAATTCTAGAAGTATTAATGGATTTAAAATCTAAAAAATGTCTAAATGTTTGTTCTTTGATTCTGTATGGTTCAGGATTAAGGCGAGCATTTCTCAGTAGAGTGGACCATTCTGAAGGCGCTTCAACAATTTTGTTTTTCAAACTGTTCTCGATAACGGCGTGCATGGAGTCTACGGGCATGTAAGTATGTCCGGTAATAAGAAATGTTAGTTTAATTTTTTGTGTGAACTCCGACCGGTCCAGGAAAAATCTGATCATTCCCAACATAGCACGATTTTTATTTTGTCCGCTACAGTTATCACAGTATAATGACACATAACTGTGAATTCGTTGTTCATCGACTCCTTTCAGATAATGAAATAAATTTGAGCAAATCTCATTGCTACCCCGTTTCCCTTCTTTTTCTGGCCACAAATAACAGTACCCTTTCCTGGACTTGGTTTCGTAGACTGTGAAATTATACACTGCGTATTTGGAATAAAATCCTAAAATCATGCTGTCACCATGGGGAGTTGCCAAAACTTTCTGGAGATCAAAGCTTGCGACAAGAAATGAAGAAGAAGCTTGTTCCTCGAGAAAAACTTTCTTTGCAGCTTCTTTTTCTTGTTTGTGTTGGTTATGATCTGAAATTTCTTTTTCACTGGGGTTCTTATTACTATCAAACTTGTGACAGTAGATGCATTTGTCTTTGCGAGGAACATGAATTCCAATGTTGTAATTGCTCTTCAGCAATTCCATGAATTTTTTTATTTTAAGCGGCGCCGACTGATTTCCTGTCTGTTTTCTGAGGTACATGCGATACAAGTTATTGTAGCTTTTTATATCTGATGCCAGATACTTTTTCGCCGTTGTACTACGGCAGTAATGAGAAGGAACCAAAGGCAATGATTCGATGAAGAATTTGAATTGATTTAGTTGCTCCGGGCTGGTCTTATTATGTGGCACATGTTTCCCTCTAAGATCAAGATCGTAACGTTTTTCAGGTTTTTTATTAGTCAGCACTGTTCGCATCAGTCGCTGGCTAATTGCCAAGGTCTTCAGAAGGAATTGTAAACAGACTTGTTGTTTTTGATCATTCTTCAATAAAAAGTATCTGTTAGTAACTGATCTGTTATGGATTGCCTTGTCACTTCGCTTTCTCTTCACTTCAATCACCTCAACGCACTCATTAAGGAACATTTTTTGTTTCTTGCTATCTGACAATTTCCAATAATAATCAAATATAGCTTTTCGCTCTTCTTCAGAGAATTTTCTGCAGTTATTTTGGCATTTTTCTTTACAAGGGTGTGGAAGCACAGTCTTCGCTGCAATTGTTTTTCCTACTGAATTGACGTATTCTGCTCCTCTATCTTTCAAAAGACGTCTCTTCTTTCTTGGGGTCAGTCTTTTTTTTTAGTTGCCAGACTTGAAAGAACAACTTCTTCATCGGAACTTGTGTCTGTGAGAACAGGAGAATTGAATGCAGCCAGTCTTTTCTCGGTGGCCTGACTAGAAACAACGTCTTCATCGGAACCCGAGTGAGATGAAGCAGGAGAATTGACTGCAGTCAGTGTTTTCTTGCTGTTTTGACTAGCAACCACATCTTCTTCATCGGAACTCGAGCCTGAATGAGCAGGAGATCTGCAACCAGTCAGTCTTTTATCGATTGTCTGGCTAGAAACCGCATCTTCTTCATCGGCACTAGTTCCTAATGTAGCAGGATTATTAGCCACATTCAGTTCTTCAATAGATGGATCCGCTGGTCCAGGACAACCATCGATGATGACGTCATAACCTAATGCTATTTCTAAGGAGTAAGTTTCATCACATAAATCAGGTACTTGGGTTAAATCTGCGAAATTGGTAACTTCTAGAGGTTGCAATGTAGTTAACGATTGCTGTTGGTCTGAGTACGAAGAATTTTCCTTGGATGATGACGTTATTTCCTCATTGTAATCGTTTCGATTCCGAAGATAACTTTCCTGACATAATACAGGTACGTGGGTTAAATCCGAGAAATTGGAAACTTCTAGAGGTTGCAGCACAGTTAACGATGGTAGTTGGTCTGGGTTCGAGAAATTTTCTTTGTCTGATAACATCATGCTCTGTTTGTGATTGTCTCGATTCCAATGGTCTAAACCAGGAGAGTTATCCGATGGTAGTTGGTCTGGGTTCGAGAAATTTTCTTTGTCTGATGCACGGTCGTCCCTAATTTTGATTTCGTCATTATTTCTGAGCAGTGCAAAAATTTTTTCCGTTCTTGATCGATGCATCTTTAATAGAACGAGCAAGCATAAATAATGGCATAAGCGCCAAGTGCGGAACAACAAATTTATGCACCTTTGAATAAATTGAATTGCGCCAACTAACAATTTTCTACTAGATTAGGATATGGACCACTTGATTTAGTGAAAATTTAGTTAGAAATTATTAGTATAGGGTCTGAAAATAGAAAACTTCTGTGGCATGAGATTCTTATGGCCGTGTGGCGCTTATGCCAAAGCTGTTTAGATGCAATCCGTTCTGGCATAAGCGACACCTCTTTCTAAGATGAATAAATACCAAAATGATAATAAATTTCGAGAGATACATGACTGAGAAGCACCTAATCATCAAATACTATCAAAACATATCGAGGTGAACATACCTTTTGAGAATTTTCATGTAAATACTGGAGCACAAGCACACTGTGGTAAAGCAAGGCGCGACTGGCGCTTATGCCAATCAGGTTTACAAGATTCTTTGCCTTTGTCGTTTATTACACGATTCTACGCGAAATACCTTCTCGTGGGATTTTTGTCGCTTAAGTCAGGACAACAGAAAAATGCGCAAAAAAATTAGCTTTCCGCCGATACCAATATCTCCATATCGCATTTTTTGTCGCTTACGCCGTTCTGCCTTGACCGCGTCGGATGTGATCTCGAGTTTGGGCGTAAACCCCATGAAGAATATGTCGCAGGTGAAAATTATGTTGACCAACTAAAGGCGAAGATGAACGACATTCACGACTTGGCTAGAAGTCATATTCAGATTGCCAGCGATCGCATGAAAATCAATACAACCTCCGCTCGGCCAATGAAACTTTTGAAGCTGGAGATCTGGTATGGCTGCACAATCCACAGAGACGAAGAGGTCTTTCTCCCAAGCTACAAAGACAATGGGAAGGTCCATATGAGGTGATCAAGAAAATAAATGACGTGATATATCGTATCAGAATGAACCACCGGAAACCGAAAGTTGTCCACATTAATCGACTCGCACGATATGCCGGATCCAACAACAACTAAGACGTTAGAGGTATTCGAGAAGAGGAACACAGCTTTGGGATCGAGCCAAACTTTAACGATTTTATGTCAAATTACGCCCAGCGGAAGAAAGCTCGATTTGGCGTTACTCAGGAAATTTGTCAACATATTTTTGAGCTTCCGGTTAACGTTTCCATCGCCCATTGTGTCGCCGAAGACCTTCGCATGGGTAGAGGTATAGCTTCCGTATTCCGGAAAAGATTTGGAAGAATAGACGAGTTGATAAAGCAAAGACCACGAGTGGGTAAAGTACTGCGCTTGGAAGATAGTCAACGCTCTTTGTTCTACTTGGTTTCAAAGAAAACGTCAGAAGGCAAACCCACCTATGAAAACCTCTGGTCTGCTTTAAAAAACTTAAAGAAACTCATGGCATACTATGACATAAATAGCTTGGCGATCCCGAAGATTGGATGTGGTTTAGATGGGTTGGACTGGAAGATAGTGCGAACCATGATCGAAGTGATTTTTAGAAACACTAGCGTTCGAATTACAGTATGCTGCTTCAACCCACAGGGGACGACCCTCCGCAAAACTGTGGACTGTTACTTTTTCAAGAAAGGTGTTTGTCGAGCAGGCTCTAACTGCAGATTCCGACACGAGGCATTAAAAAGTAATACTAACGCAGTTTCTGAACGAGACGTCCAGAATTAAGAAGGGGGCAGTGTAACGGAAATGCTGCAGACATGACGTCGCCTTTGGCGTTCTGGAATTTTCTACGCGTATTCGAGAATGTACTGGACTTACATTGCTTGCGTGTATAAAGGGTTGCGGACCGAACATCGCGGAGTCTACTATCGAACGAGATCGAGCACGGAAATATAAATTGCGAAGTGTGTGTGATATAATAATCGATATAAATTGTACGGTTTTTATAGTGTTTTAGTTTTGTTTAATAAATATTGATATAAATCGAACCCGAATTTATAAATCACGTTACAGTATTATCCGCGTACAACATTTTTTCAGAAAACTTTATTTGTGCTACCTTCCCTGAAACTGAAGGTTCCACGTTAGCGATACAAAACCAGGCCTTGAACACAAGTAACTATAAAGAACACATACTTAATGACAAAACACTGACACATAATTCTTGTCGACTGTGTTCACAAACAGCAGAAACTGTCCCAACACATAACATCGGCATGTACACAATTTGCACAAAGACAGACTAAAAACATCGACACGATCAAGCAGCTAAGATTATACATCAAAAATTAGCTCCTAAACATAATCTAGGAACACTAACAACTTGATTAAAACCAGTGCAGAAAAACACCCCAAATACACTGATATAGCTCTAGAATTTAAGGCACAATGGTGAATGTGATCTACTGTTGTAATCATCAAAATTCTCAGTGCCATGGCGTTATGCCAGACAATAGCAATAAGGTAAGTCATTGATAAATACCACAAATAAGAAAGGGCCCAAGGTAGAACCCTGTGACACACCTCACGTGGGAATAAAAAAGTATCTACCGTATGAAACAAAATGATAACGATCCAGAGAATATTACCTTATAAGGGCCGGTATTGTAATACTAAACTCGTCTTTCTCTCGTAATTTTTACCGCATTTGTTTAAGAATAAAAAATGTGCAGAAGAGTAAATAGCTCTGAAAAGTAGTAGGCAAACAGGTGATTAGAGAAAGTACGCGTTGTTAAATGCAGAAGCAAAAAAGAATTACAAAAATTTAGCAATGCAAAATAGTAAAATAAGTATACAAACCGTGAATCCAAAGCTCCTCTTTTTACACAATTTCAAAAAGAGGTTTTTATAGGGCCATATGAATAAGAAAGTGTGCATGAGTTGATTTGGACTCCTTTCAATACATATCAACATTGAATATCCATGGATATTCAATGATATCAAGTAGGTTTAGACGCTTTCAAATTGAATTTTACAAGAATCGTTCATCGTAATTTACGAGTAAACGTAAAGCAAAAGTCTGTTTAAAAAAATTGCAATGCACAAAGTTGGTTTATTACTTTATCAGTATTTATAATTAAATTACAGGATACTCTGCTTGTGTAACTTATGGTTTTTTATCTGGTGATCGTCCACCAACGTTGCTTTACGGTAATCCCCTTAAAATCATCAAAGGTAATTTACAAATTAGTTTTATATTTATTTTCTACTTTAAAGGACGTTTTCCGACAAAGCGGATTAAATAGCCTTTCGTACACTTTAATTAGACAGCTGACAGACACCTAAATGGGAGATGAACCCACAGTTAGTCCGTTTAATCAAGTCTTTATAAAATGTTAAGGTAAACGCAATTTCTCAAAGTAGATTGCTTGTACATGCACAATTGAGAGCGGTTTTTGTAATGATTAAAATTGTCTGCGGCTTTGTTCAACTGGCGAAGATTTCTGCAATTTCTGAGAATTTTATTAATGCAATCATGTATGCAAATTACCACACGGTACGGTTGATGGAACGACCGGCGTTCTAAAAGGGTTAGCTATGTTAATTTCTAATGAATTTATCACCTTTATTCGGAAGCTATTTTTTGTGCATAATAATTTAAAAATGTTCACTTTGTAGTGGAGTATTCTGCAACAATACCGCGATACATTAATAATGTTCTGTTTTTAACATTGGAAATGATTATTGTTTTGTACCTATACTGGTATAAAGTTACGGGTTTCGTTCCAGGAGAAAAGACAACGGTCTCGCATCACGTGTACAGGACTCGGAGGCGATCGGTAAGTTAAGGAAAAGTTGCGGATACTGCCGATACGGTACTGCTCAATTGTTTTGTTAATTTCAACCTAAAATTCTCGCACATCTCTTTTAATAGGGTTATGAGCATGTTATGAGGCTTATTATTCAGAAAGTATTTGTTTGAGTTGAGAGCAGGGAAAAGAAGAAAAATCTCTCCTTTTTGATGATGTAGTAATAGTTATTTATTATACAAAACGATAAAGGGATATTTTAACCATTGAGTGAAAGATTCACGTGATTCACGAGATGGTTAGTTTCCATTTATCGTCGTGTATAATACAAAACTTTATTTTATAGCAGAATCCTTGTAAAGCTTCTGACAATTCTGAATTTAATTTAGAGACGTCAAAAATGGCAAGCTTAGGTTCTGCCGTTGCGATCGTTGCAAGCAGAATTGTCATATCTTCTGGACGTCAGTTTATATCGTGCATTTGAAATAAGAATGACAGATTTCATTAGAATGCACATTCATCTGTTTCACTTTATCTACCCTTACGGTTAAAGTGATCACTTTATCTATCCACGGTTAAAGAACGACTTAGCCTACTCATTCAAACCTAATTTTAACACGTGCTATAAAATACACCCAATTAATGATATGGGGAAGGCGTGAAAATATCATTATTTATGGGCTTGCGGAATCAACTAATGATAGTCCACAGAATACTCAAGGTAGTTGCTCTCAGCATATGGACGGATGACATCGGTATCATCAGGTTGGGAAAATCCGAGGAAAAATCCAGTCGTACAAGAATTAAAAATAGGCCATATCAGGACGAATTTTTTAAGTTTAAAGGATTATATAATAGACAATGATTCGGATATTATTGGTGTTTCTGAAACTATTCTTGATGCAAGTTATGTTTATAAATATTTGAATTTAAACAATTAGAGCGGACCGCTTAACTTTTGGTTTATTTAAAGTCGTCTAATACCTTTCAAGTAATTCCACTCGATGACTCGATGAATTATAGTTCGGGCGACAATTTTGAGATCATAACTTCTAACGGCAAATCTTGTGACATTTTGGTGACAAGTGTTTTTAGGGTAATTGGACCCTGCTGAATCCGATTTTTCCTGTCACCACCTCGAAATACGGCTGGTAAAGCCCCAAATCAAGATGGCGCCCAAAATGGCGACTAAAACTCACTATAAGATCGTTTTCTTGCTGTAAACAAAAATATTATCACGATTTGTATCTAGTACATACGCTTTACTATTTATTACTATTTTATAAAAAAAAATGTCAAAAAATTAAATGAGGGTGGTAGAAACTTGGGTTAACTATTTATTTAATTGTGAAGGTAAAACTTGCATTTTTTGAAATGAGGGTGGTACAAGTTGGTTAAAATGAGTTTGTCTATCCGCCATTGTAAAATACCGGTATTTTTATGACTTGATACTTTAATAGCAAATTATCGAAATTTTTGTGCAGAGTATTAATAGGTAGGTAGGTAATTTAATTTTTTTAATGGAACTCCAGATATTGTTTACACAGCGTCTAAAACACGCGCGTAATTACCTAAGGAACTTTTAGCACGACGACAACACGAATCTGCTGGCTACAGATGCGACAAACGTCTGGAAAGTTTTAACTAGTTTCAAAAATGTGCCAAATTCTTCACAGTACAGCTTCCTAGGTCAACTCTTCACCGTTTAACGTCTTCGAACGCTTTTTTTACTCTTGTTTGTGTTACTAATAATTCATATAATGTGACAATATATGAAAATATACAGACAATATTATTGTCTAAAGTCTAAACACATAGCTCCTTATCCAATCGAAACGAAAGAATAAGAATGAAATTTTACAACTTATCCTTAGGTAGGGGGTACGGATATAGAAAGATATTAAAAACAGTTTTTGACAGGTT